CTATACTATTTGATATGGCGATGAATTTTTACTTAATAAGCAAATGCAATTAGGTTAATAAAATTTTTATTTTTTTTTCATGTTTCTTTGTTCAATTATTTCCAGTGATCTGCAAGTGTCCTTATATTTATGACCAGTGAGTGTATTTTCACCAATATATATATAGCATTTGAGCTTCCCATTATATTTTAAAAATATCATCACAACGGCATTATATAACGCATAGATCCGATCTCGTAATTTTATTATTATTGTTATTTGCTGTATAACAGGACAGGATTTGGGCTAGTCAAATATCTTGCAGCATGTCAAAAATTGAAACTATTATTTTTTTCTCATTTTGATATCGATTACAGGGTTTACATTCTTGCTAACATCAAAGATGGATGGTTTAATTATTGTAGATACTGTTCACAGTAATGATACGACATACGCGTAATTTAGGACACAAGACTAGCTTAAACAACATGAAAAGGATAAATTGCACTAATCCTTTATAAATCATATATGTCAAAAACAAGAATAATTTTAGTGCTTTAAACTTTATACATTTGAGTTAATATATACAGCAAAATAATTATTTTTTAGGACTAATAAAAAATTTTACAACAGTGGTGGTTGTTGATTAATATTCCACAGTTCATCATTCCCTAAAGGATGCTGCAAAAAGGGCCTATCAAAGTCTTTTCTATTAGCCTGGTTTCAGATCTGAAAGTGGAAGCGTAATGCATTTGCAACAAACGAAAAAGATAATTTTATCAAGACGCCTAATCTTAATATGTATTGTGGACTTGTGCCAATTTATCTCTTTTTTTTTTCAAACTAAGTTTCATTTTTACACGGTCTTGGTGGTGCGATTATTTGTTTTATTTATTGTTGTAAGAGCACAGATAATAAAATGAAAAATATATGCCAAATAACAACATCAAATATCTTTACTGCTTAATAAAAAATCCTCCAGCAAAAAGGGCATAAATTTGTGATCAGTTGAAGAAGTATTTATTTGGGTTTAATAGATCTTGATTATTTCAGTAAAAAAATCATATTATTCTTCTAATATTTTTTTAAGGAGACTTACTTAACATAGATCTTTTAAATGTGGGCCGTTCTTGGTCTTTTTACCAGTAGATCCTTCTTTAGTTATTATTGCTTTATTTGGCATATATTTAAAATGGCTCCTGGTTTAGAGGTCAATGATTATTCCGAAAAATTCTATTGTATAAATCAAAAATGTCTAATACTAGATAATAATAATATCAATAAAGTTTCCCCAGTCCTCTTAAGATATTGATATGGGTCAGGCCTCGGACATATTTTTTCAGTATCTCTGCCAACGAATCGATACTGTTTGGCATTCTATACACTCCACAAGTGACATTTACTATCATTACATCATGGACTTCACTTTCGATATGATCATTCTCCTTTCCGTTAAACAATTCATCAAATCCTTCATACACCAACTATAAAAAAAGGTAGCAGGACCCAAAATAATTTTTGCGATCCTATCATCAGTGGATATTTGGATGCATGTGATCGAGTGCGCCATACTATTTTTGATAACCTGTATCATCAAAATTACCAAAAAGGCATAGTAAAATATCCAATTGCCAGCCAACACTGCCTACTATAGTCATCTTTGTTAGTTTTCTCACAACAGTTGTACCTGGATTGCTTGTAGAAGATATTACTGAAAGTAGAGAAGCTATCTTGTCACAAGTCACATGCAAGCTTGACCTCGAATTATATGGATTATTTTGACATTCAACGCTTTTTCATTAACCTATTGAAGCAGTTAATCTACATACATAAATAAATAGATCACGGAAACCAATAATCCTAACTTAAGTTTGTATCCTTTTCATGGAACGGAAAAATGGTTCAACATTATCTGTTATTGTCTTTTCATGGACTCTCTTGCTCATCGACAGATATGTGCTAATGTAACGTAGCTGATTAATAATTTCTGCCTTAATTCCTGTAAGATCCTCAGATGTAAAGTCTTCAACAAGCGATCAAAACAATTTGAAATAGTCTACTTTGATCAGAGTGTTTCATTAAAGTTTTTAAAATTACATTTTGAACCTTCATCCTAAAAGAATGAAGAGAATTATTAGTGTTAACAACCAAAAACATAGCAGAACAATTCATTTGTTACAAACACGGTTGGCGTGGGTATCTGGAAAGAGGCTGTCAAACTGTTACCGTTAAAAAAATGATCCTAGTGGAGCCTCTCTCCAAACATCAGGCCAAAAACGTTGAGAAGGTCCAACAATCGTAGGGAGGGATGCCATATGTGTGATAGTATAAAAGATATTCCCCTGATTATATGTTAAGGAAATTGATAACTAAAGCTGCTGTTGAAAATGATAATTAATAATTTTTAAAAAATAATAATTGAATAACTAGTGGTATGTTTACAAGATAAAAATTATTACTTGATCCAAGAAATTTGATTAATTTCGGATAAGATGAAAATTTGGATTTCAAAGAATTTAATATTTTTGTTAGCAGACGTTACCCTGAGTAGTTTAATGTTACATGTAATAAATGTGCAAATCCTGAAAGTCTGGTGGGAATTTCTCTGAAAAATTTTGCTAATCGACATTAAAATTTTATTAATAAATTGAAGGTCCTGGTATGCTAATGCTCCTTAAATCATATTACCGAGATACTTTGTATAATAAGTTGCTAAAATTTTGAACCATGTAATTCCCTTGTACCATCACATTCACTTTGACCCCATATACAGTAAATATATAAAATTTTAAGAGTAATTTTTTATTTCACTGATAATAAAAAATAATATGCTATAAATAAATAAATGAATGAATGAATGAAACATTAAATATTAATATCGATATGTAATTTACAAATTTGCATTATCAGTCCAAATTTCAAGTAGTCTTCTTGTATTAATCAATTTATGCTTCAATCCTTCTAAATCTTTAAATTTTCCACATTCTATCAAAACCAAAACTTTTAAAGACTTTAAATTGATTTCCCAATTAATAGCTTTTGCCAATATTTTATCATTAATCCATCCACAATAAGATAAATCCCAAAATAATAAATTAATCAAATTTGAAAATATATTTAGAGCTATTGGTCCACTATTAGCATCAAAACATCCCGCTATTGATAAATGAGTTAATAGAGGCAAAGTGCTAACCAACAAAGATGCCATAGGAATAGATGCTAGATTATTTGAAAATCCTAAATTAATATATTTAAGCTTTCTAAATTTCGTTAAATATTTTTTGGTTAATAATGATTCATTATCATTGCTGCTATTACTATTACTATTGATACTGTTGTGACATAAATATTGTTTTGATATTAATTCAATATCTTGATCATCGCCTCCGTCATTTCCATTTCCATTTCCATCTCCGTCATCTTTTGATAATAGATCCTCCCAATTTTCAACAATATTTAATGATTTATTGATATTTTTATTGTTAAATTCTTTCCAAAAATTTCTCTTAAAACATTCAAAAGTAATTAAACTATTTGATAAATCCATTTCTTCATATTCACAATCTCTTGAGAATAAATCTAACAAGTCATCGCTAAGTGGATTAAAAATACTTAAACCAGATAAGATTCGTTGTTTGAGATGAGTTGGTAAATAATAAAAATACGAATTGTAATATTTCGATTTATTAATATTCATATTGTCGTCATCATCGTCGTTGTCGTCATCGTTGTTGTTGTTGTATGATTTAATATTAATTGCTATTACTTTAACGCAAATATTTAATAATGATTCTATATCACTATTGTTGTTGCTTTCGAAAGGATTAGAATTTGAGATTCCTAAATTTATTAATAAATAAAATGTTATAAAGCGTTGTTAATAAATAATATTCTTCTACATGGAATAAATTAAATCTCACCATCCCAAATTCTTTTTTTTTTCAAACGTTCCTTAATGACACGTTTTTGTAGAAGTTTTGAATAGAATGATGACGATGATGAATTGATTTTCGTCTTGTCAGGAATCTTACCGTCATAATTATTACTAAAGTACCAAGCACTTTGCCAACTTTTAGGTGGAGCAGGGCCTGATACACGTTGTCTTATCGAATTATTATTATTATTAATATTATCGGCTGATATTGTTTGATCATTAATTCCAAATTGTTCTTGAGCCAAGTAATAATAATATGAGGTTGATGAAAAATTTGTTGAAGTAATGCTATTGTTAGCAGATGAAGAAATTTTATTATTTAAACTTGCTTGTCGTAGTCTCTCAAGACGAGAAGTGACACTACTTGTTGTTGAATCATCGTTGTTATTGTTATTAATAATGTTGCTGTGATTGTTACTATTATTATCATTATTTTTCAAAAGTTTTAAATAATTTTGGTTCTTTAATCTATTTTTTTTTTGTTGTCTGGAACTTTTTACCATGACAAAAAGTGCTGATCATATATTCAGCGCACAAATTACTTTATTTAAGGCTTAGGATGATCAACAGCATCCAAAATTGGAAACAAAATTTTGTAGTGATTCTCGTAGCGTGCATTCAAAAGAATTTATTTAATTTCTCAATAATAGAATGCACACTAAAGAAATTATAACTAATTTTGTCAATGAACTTCAAAAAGAAATTCTAGAAGAAATATGGAAACCACGTTGTGAAATAATGCTAATCAATGAACATTCTGCTGGTATAGATAGAAAGCAAAAACATAAAAAGAAACCATTAAATTATGTATCTACAATATCTAATAATCATAATATCCTTAATGACAATTTAGAATTGGGTAAAAGAGGGATATTACATTCAATTAGATTTGGAGGCGAGTGGTTGGATTTTATAGTAATAGTTAACTAGCCATTGAATCGAGAATACCAGTTAGGTGCATAGGCATTAACTTTAAGTAGGCCTAGCTGGTTCGATTTTTGAGTTACTAAATGGCAAGTTGGTCCCATGTATTCCAGATTTTTTTTTTCTTTGGATTAATAGTAGCAGGGGCAGTAGTTTTATTTTTTTATTTAATTGTTTGTATTTTATTATTATATTTTACACAATTATATTTTAATAAAAATAAACTTCAACTTGGGAAAAAAAAAAAAAAAAAATTCAAAAGAATTTATTTCAACTATTATCTCTTAAACCGTAGAAGTCACAAATTTGTGACTTATGATATTATTAATAAATAAGACTTTTGGCATGTGAATACGGTTTATGGGATATATAGTAGGATTTTTTTTTTAAATAAATGACAAATATGAGTTGATTGACAAAAAATGGTATCCAAATGTAATTTCTGCATCTGATTTTTTTATCAATTAGAAAAATGAGGAAAATTTTATTTCTTCAATGTTTACACATTTCTTCAAATCAAGTTTTTATTTGTTAACTTCATACACAATTGCTATATATGATATTATATGACACATTGATAATGATTTTTTCTATACAATATCAAAAACCGAGCCTTCATCAGGTTCTTGGTAATCTGGAAAAGAAAAAAATATCTTGATCAGTGATGTTATTAAATATAATATTTAAATGAATTTTGTCACTGACCTTTTGTTTTCAAAGCTCTTGGTTTTTGGAAAGATCTGCACTCCTGCTGTCTAACAGGCATTGCTACCTTTCCAGGCGCAAATTTCTCTCTTTCAGCCCTGCTCTTCATTTGCTTAAATTGAGAAATGGTAACTGATAATAATTTCTACAAGAACAGAATCGAGTAAGTGCATAAGTAAAGTTATAAATTCAACAATGTTTGAATATTACTAACCTTAGTTTGAAGCATAACACGTGATATTTTAATGATAAGCTCTAGTTCCTGATATTTTGTTGGGATATAGAAGTCAGCTAAATTCATGGATGCATAGAATCCACCTCCAATGTAGATGATAAGAATTGTGCGCATAAGAAAATACGATGATAAAAACCCAGGCATCAACTAGTGTTGGTCGCCAAAACTATTTTGAAGAGATGAAAGTCAAAACTAAAATTAAAGTTATATGTCAAAACTAAATCAAAAGTCAATAGTCAAAAATCAAAACTAGTTTCGACTTATGGTGAAACCTTTTGACTTTCGCACAGTTGCAAAACTCTCTAGTTTTGGAAACCAACACTAGCATCAACAGCTTTGCACTAGCTTGAAGAACCAGTTTCGACAGTGTTCCTCCACCCTCAGCAAATATCACTTTGATTAAATTTTGGTGCATGTCTCTTAAAGTTTTCTGTACTTTTAGAGTGTTTGAAAAGACCTTGGAAGTGTCTTCAATTTTTGAACCAGTACACTCGCAGAGAGAAAATTCTCAACCCCAACATAATTCTTTACCTAAATCATGCCTCTATAAATCAAATTAATAAGTGTATTAACATTGATAATAACTTCTAAGAATCTTCTATACCATAAACATCCAATCCAAGTGATAGCCCTCTGTATTACTTGGTGCATCTATCGCATCTGCTCGGCGGTTTCTGGAAGCTCTTGATACAACCTCTCCGCTTAACCAAACAAAGCGTAAACATTATTATCAATGATAAAAAATTGAAAAAATAACAAAAACTTACAAATGACTATCCAGAATAGTATTGAAGCATGAAAAGATGTGCCTCTTTATAAATATATCAATATCCCATTCAGAATTAGGTCACTGAGCGATCCCTTTTGCAATCATTTCACATCTAAATGAAATTATTACATAAGAATTTTTAAAACATATAATTTGGTACTTAAATGTTAAAACTTACGTAAATCGAATTAAATCAAGAATGAAAGCAACATCCGAGTTCGTATGATCGTCAACTGTCAATGGTGAGATTTCCTTATGCTTATCTATTTCATTGGAATCTTTTTCATCACCAAATAAATTGTTCAGCTCAGGTGCTTTTTGCTCTTTTTTATTTTCTAATAATTTTTGAAGTTCAAGAATAGCACCGTATGTCCCTTTTGGTCTCACTATTTCACCAATAGTGCGAAGTTGATCATTGTCAAGCTGGGAACCAAAGGAGATGCATTAATAAATTTAAAATAAAGAATTTAAATTAATTTTTATTGTTTACCTTCTCAAGAGACTGTAGGAGACTCTCGGGTGCAGGTTCTACTGTGGTCCAATCTTCTAGAAGAGATGAAAATTTTTCATTAATCTCTGATAATTCATATTCTGTTATAATAGTCGTAATTTTTGAATCAGATAGATCTATGATCTTCCACCAGATTGGTCTAAAAAATTTATTAGAACATGGAGGCACAATTATCAAATAAATCAATGCTTATTGAACACTTACTCTAAAGATAATTCATATTGAATCCTTTTATCATTACAATTAAAAGCATTGTAAATTAATGAATCACGCTTGTGTGCTATTTTATCTAACCAACTTGGTTTCGGTGTATCAAATTCCCATTCAACAGAGGGTTCTTCATCAAATAAAACCTATGTATGCATTCACAACATTCCTATAAGAGAAGGTTTTTTTTTATTTTGCAAAAATCAATGTGAATACAAGTACCTCAAATGGATCTGAAAGTTCTTCATCTTTATGTTGACGTTTGTATGAATGATCATCTTCCACATCAAGTGGTCTAGTAACTTTCTCATGTTCCTTTCCCTTCTCTGAATTGGATGTTTCTTGTAATTGATCAATAAATATTTGATTTTCTTGCTGATCCTAAAAAATTTTGGTAAGTTCATTGGTCTATTGTAAATACTGGTTTCAGATTTTCATAACCTTACCTTTAAAACTGTAACTGTGTATGTGGATGTGACATTTACTCATGCCTCCTCATGATATTCAAGATCTTTAACGAATAGTTTAACTTCGGTGGTGAAAAACATTGAGTCAAAGTTCAATAAAATCTTTGTTGCCTTGCTTTTGGCATTTACATGAATATTACAATTGTCTTTATATTTAGATAATATTGCATATAGATCTTCCTTGAAATCTTTGATTGTAGCAACTGATAATTTCAAGTTCAATCGTGAAAATTCTAGGATTCCAAGGATCGACCAATCTTTGTTTTTTGTTTTATCAAGATATTGTGTTATGGTCATCCGGAAAATATAAAAAAATTTTACACATGTCAATTGTAAGTTTAATAATAAAAAAGTGTAAAACTTACGTCGGCACTGTAAGATTTACACAATATTACGTCGGCATCATAAGATTTATGCAATTTTATGCTAAATTAATTTCCTGATGGTGGATTCAAACATCTAAAAATAATTAGTGCAATTATTAGTTATTTATCTTTTAATAAAGAGAAATAGTAATGTTTACAGTCAACTGTATACTGGAAAACAGCATACTGGAACAAAGGCCTTAAACACGTATGCCTAAGGACAGCCCAACAGACTGCCTCCAAGCATCTGAATGTAGGACGGGGTGGCCTAACAACAGTAGGTATAGTAAACGCATCCTGGAAAACAGCATACTGGAACATGAACCTTAAACGCATATGCCCAACAGACTGCCTCCAAGCATCTGAACGTAGGACGGGGTGGCCTAACGACAGTAGGGATACGCGTGACTGTAAACTCTACCAAAGTTCAAAGAGCTACAAAGGTATAGAAGAAGATTGACCTTATTTTTTTACATTATATTCGAAAGTAGAATACGAGTCAGTATTTTTTTAAACTGTATCAACAATCAGCGATCAGCTCATTTCGTGTCACAATCTCATCTCATCAATTCGCAGAAACGGAAAGAAATTACATAATAGTAATAATGCAGATCGGGGCAAAATTTCTTGATTTTATAAAATAATTTTTATCACGTAACTTTTATCTCCTGCTGACACAAAACCTTATTATCAAGTACCACACTCATGCATAATAAAAAACATTAGTATATATAATCTATAATTTTTTTTCTTGTTAAGAAACTATACATTTATTTTTTACTACTAAAGCATAAACTCAAAATCAGCTCAGGATATGGGTAGAAAAACATACTAATAAAATAAATTCACTTATTATGATTTACTTGAGAAAAGTAATAAAAACTATTTATTTAGTTATTTTATTCGTTTTTTAGCAATTGCTACCTTGTGCTGTCTGGAATACCTACTAATCCAATTTTCAATTGTACTTAATTTTGGAATGTCAATTATTTCCAACTTACCTATTTCCATGTTTTTTTTCAATTCTTCAAGCATTTCTTTAGGTGTATATCATTCACTTTTACATGCATCGCCTGTGTGAAAAAGATTTTTAATAACTCAACTACTTTATCAGACATATGTTTTTCACCACCTTTCTTTCCAAGTTCCTGATTTTCTTTCAAAGCCCAGCAAGTGGGAAGTAATTTCTATATAAATAAATGGACACATAAACAAGAATTTTATCAAATACCTTGTTATTATATGTTTTTCAGCATTATCAAATTGTTCTTCTATAATAGATAAGTTCTTTTTTTTTTTCTTGATTGTAAATTATCCATATCATCTTTATCATCCATTA